TCCCACAAATAGTGGAGAAGACTTCTAATTTCTCCATGTCCCTTCCAATATTTATCATTTTATAATTATGATGATTTTTATTAAGGAACTCTGGTGTCAATGTCAGGTAAGCACTAGACTGCTAACCTCAAGATAGGTGGCTCATCAGAAAGTAGATTTTTGCAGATGCAGTTAGGTTAAAATTTAGCACCCTATCATTACAGCACCCTTAGGATCCGTTTAAATATGATCTCCTTTTTAATATGTTCCGCTTTATTTTTTATTGAGGTTATTGTTTATTTTACTTTGTTATTCTTGTTAGTTTTGTTTGTTTGCTTTTTTAAGTGCTTTTACTCTATATGAAATTCAGGATAGGTTAATCTGTAGAGATAGTAACTGGATCAATGATTCCTTAGGGGTATGGTAGGGGAGGAGAGGGAAAAATGAGGAGCTAATGACAATGAGTACAAGAATGAAGAAAATGTTCTCACACTGATTGTGGTGATGATTGTGTAACTTGTCTTGATGGGATTGAACTATTGAATTGCATGATATATGAATTGTATGCCCAAACAGTTGGGAAGGAAAAGAAATAATGGTGATTCAAAACCACTAGCTACTCCTCAATCGAAAGATGAGGATGTCCGTTACTTAAAGATTACAACTCTTGGAACGCCGGAGGAGGGTTGTGACAAGCTGGGATCCAATCAATGCCATGAGTCTGTTTTTGTTTTGTTATTTCTATGTCATTTACTGTTGTCCATTCTGTTGTGAGTGAAATGGTATTTTGTTGTGGTTTTAATGTGCGTATCTTTGATAGTTAATAGCATTAATTATCTTTTCCCCATGTCTGCTGTTCCTTTGAAATCCTCTTTCATGAAGTTCATGTCAGGATTTGCTTGAGTTGTCCTTTTGGTGTTAAGTCGTAGAGGATTTCTGTATTAGGATTCTGTAAATCATTCGGAATTAATTTTTCTGTTGAGTGGGAGGTATGATCTTGTTTCCTATTTCTGTATGTAGAACTTCTGTTTTGCCAGGTTCATTTGTTGAAAGAGACTGTTTCTTCTGCCATTAAATGGATTTAACAACCATGTCTAAAATCAATTGACCATGGATGGTTAGATTGACTACTTTTTCTCATTCCACATATAACTTATTTTATCTTAAACATTTATCAAACTCATATTCTCACTATTACATACTGCAATGTTGTGATAGCCTTCTGTCTGACATTTATATTTCAATCCATGATTCTTTTAAAAAATCATCCTCCACACATCCCACAGTGTGTCACTTCAATCTACCAGTGAATTGTTGTAAACGAAAGGATCATTTTAATTGGTTAATGTTACTTACTGTAATTCCTCTCTTGATCTACAGACAGGAACTACTATTTAAAAATATTTCCATACTTAATATAATAGCAGAAGATAAATTTCATAAAATGTGTATACTTTAATTTTTTTCACATTTAAGTCAGTATATGAAAATCCCATTTAAATAAAGGTTATCATTACACTCACTAGTATAATAAAGAGAGTTTTAGTATATAAAAATTTAATATTTTGAGAAATAGTGATGTTTGATTAATTATGTCTCTAAGTCCCAGTAGATCAAAATACATGAGATCAAGGACACTGTTCTGTTTTTAGCACAGCATTGGGCACATAGTAAATATTAATGAGTATTGTTAAACTAACTAAATAGAGGAGATAACAAAAACAGAGAATGATATGGCTTGAGTCGGTGAAGAAGCCAGAGAAAGGAGAATTATATTGGAGCACAAGGCACATATGGATAATTTTAAATTAATGTGTTCTGCCACTAAATAATTGAAAGTTCAATAAAAACCTCATTAATTATAAGGGCCAAATTACATTCTTATGGGATCATTCGATCTGAGGCTGAGTGATATTTTGCCTTTGCAGTATTTATGAAGTTAAAGTTTGCTAAGTAAACTAATAAAATTTTTAAAAATCAGGAAGTTTATGGAAAAGTATTCTTGGGACCAACTTTCTTAAAGACTTCAAAGTTTAATGATTAAATGGAAATGAATGCAGCTAATCATCAATGACATAATTCACTAAAGTAAAATCAAAGTTATCTCTATTTGGAAAAACAAATATATTTAAATTCTAACTATTTAAAATTTTATGGAATAATTGATAGAGACTTTAGATTAACTCTTATGCAGCAACCTATCATAAGAAATCCTCTGTGTATGATTACCATCAAGCCTTTTTTGCTTATATTACCATCATTACAGTGATTATCACTACCATCCTCTATTATCACCATGAATTTTATATTTTAGCAAATTCACCAATGTTATTGATACAATGGGTGTCATGTGCCAAAATATTGGATGATTCAAAGCATCTCTGTAAAATGTCAATTCTTACACAAGAATTATTGTGTAATCCTTGACAAGCTAATTACTTTTTAATTAAAAGAGACAACATGGAAGAAGCACACAGGCCTGTGTGATCACAAGGTACTGAAGGGATCAGTTATCAGGCATCAAAGAACAAAAAAACATATCATTGGGTGTTCTCCTCCTCAATACAGTAACTGAAGACAAATGGTTGCATAAGCAAATGTGGTGAAGAAAGCTGATGGTGCCCAGCTATCAAAAGATATAGCATCTAGGGTCTTAAAGGCTTGAAGGTAAACAAGCGGCCATCTAGCTGAGAAGCAACAAAGCCCACATGGAAGGAGCACACCAGCCTGTCTGATCACGAGGTGTCCAAGGAATCAGGTATCAGGCATCAAAGAACAAAAAATCATATAATTGTGAATGAGGGGGATTGCGGAGTGGGGACCTAAAGCCCATCTGTAGGCAACTGGACATCCCCTTACAGAAGGGTCATGGGGAGGAGACGAGCCAGTCAGGGTGCAGTATAGCACCGAAGAAACATACAACTTTCCTCTAATTCTTTAATGCTTCTTCCCCCACCACTATCATGATCCTAATTCCACCTTACAAATCTGGCTAGACCAGAGGATGTACACTGGTACAGATAGGAACTGGAAACACAGGGAATCCAGGACAGAAGACATCTTCAGGACTAATGCCGAGAGTGGCGATACTGGGCGGGTAGAAGGAAGGTGGGGGAGAAAGGGGGAATCGACAAGGATCTACATATAACCTCCTGCCTGTGGGATGGACAACAGAAGAGTGGGTGAAGGGAGACGTTGTACAGTGTAAGATTTGACAAAATAATAATTTATAAATTATCAAGGGTCATGAGGGAGCGAGGAGGGAGGGGGAAAATTGAGGCGCTGATGCCAAGGGCTTAAGTGGAGAGCAAATGTTTTGAGAACGATGAGGGCAACGAATGTACAGATGTGCTTTACATAATTGATGTATGTATGGATTATGATAAGAGTTGTATGAGGCCCTAATAAAATGCTTTCAAAAAAGAGACTTAAGATGTCACAATTATTAGATGTTAAAACTGCAATTGTGACCTGTATCTCTGTTGATTGTCACAAAGACATCCAGGGAACCTGTTGATAAGCAAAGTCAGGGAGAATACCATTTCAACTGAGTCTTAGAGTTGCTCACAATGAATAAATTAATTAAAATATCGATAGGATTGTATGTACTATTTTATGACACATCATACATAGAGTATTGAAATGGCTTTTGAGAAACACGTTTGATAAGTAAGCTATTTCATAATTACATCCCAAAGTGGATATATGCTAGAATAATCAGCTAGGTTTGTTTTGCTTGATCTCAGTATTATGTAACTTAGAGAGGGGAAAGTATTTCTTGTTCCAGAATTGTTTAACATGGTAGAAAGAGAAACCTAGGGAAGTTGGGAACTGTCGGTCTTAAATTAGTAGTTGAAGTTAGAGAGTTAGGAAAAATCCCCTCAGAAGATTCTGGAAAGAAGAATGACGTTGATTGAAGTTCTTATGTGCATGACTTCAAAGTTCCTCAATCACATCGTCCTAATTTTCCATTCGATCTTTGTGATACTTCAAAGTAACCTGATGTTGGAGTGCTATAACAAGTCATTCTAATAAAATTAAGCTTAAATTGGTTATTCTTTAGTACTGAGTCATTGATGGAGATTGGGTTGAATCTCTCTTCCCCAAGACATTTATCTGGAAAGATAGCTATCTGTATATCTATTCACCTATGAGTCAGCATCAACTCCATGACAATGGGTTGGGTTGGGTTGGGATCCATCTGTTTGCACACACACCCTGTCTCAAAACTTCTATTTTCTAGTTTAAGCAAGGCTAGTTCCTTCAGGTTTTCAAGTAAAATCTTTATCTATATGCTAAATAATATTTCATGATATATTAATGTTGATAACTATAAGATTGTTATCTTATATAGTAAAAGGATTAGCATCCCATGTCTCCTATTCCAAAGTTAGATGATAATCTGTAAGTACAAAATGAGGCAATTTTAATATCTCTAATTGACTTCAATCATCTTAACAATAAGGGTTTGCTGCAATGTATTATTGATAGCATAAAAAGTCACAAAGAAGTTCTACCCTAGATATGTTTCAGTATTGCTTTAGAATTTTAGTATCATCTGAAGTTAGTTTTGCAATATTTTAAATACCATATACATTTTGTGTTAGCATTTCTGGTTAGTAATCATGTTTGTCTAAAGCATTGAATTCAAACAGCTTTAAAAATAAAGTATATAAAATATAAAGAGTTTTCAGATATGAATTGTATATTCAAGGTATCTCACTCTGCATAAATGTGTGCTTTGGGGGAAAAGAACCAAATATATAGAAAATTAATAATTATATTTTTTCTAAAAATATATTTATTTGTAAATACATACAATGTTAAGAATTTGTGAATTCTACATTTTAATTTACTTATAATCTGTGATGGGTTAATTAAATCAGAAGAATGAAGTCTAACAATCAGCAAAGACCTTAAAGCAATTTAGAATCCTTTTGAGTCTTTAAAGAAAATTCAATAAGCACTTGAAGAACAAATCAATGAAGAGTTTGAAATGTTGCTTTTCTAATTTTCCACAGGGTCCAAGCTTTCTCTATGAGGCCCTTTTTCCTCAAAACAAAATGAAAATGGAAGAAATGGATCCTTTATTCAGCCTTCATGAAACCATTACTAAGGTAGGAATGAATGGAAGGCATTCAAGAACAGGATAGGAAGTTATTCTTTTCAGTAGGGGAGTGGAACAAACATAAAAAAAATACCAAAGGAAATCTATGTAGTTTGGTCTTTTTAGAGAATTTGAGTACCTCTAATTTTCATTTATTAAAGAGTAAAGATAATAAGTATTTAGGCTCTACAGATGCAGACTGATGATTTGTTCTCCAAATCAATATTTATAAAAAGTAATTCTTCTTAATATGAAAGTAAATGTGTGATATATTCTTAAGCAGACCCCTTCAGTTTACATTAAAGGTCATACAAATGAGATGTTTATAATTCTATATCTTCCAAGTTTTGTTTCAATATTAAACCTTCTTGTTTCAGGTACCTTTTAGTTTCAGTAAAATATTTCAAATTTCAAAGAAAAAGAATAAGTTTAGAATAAGAAAACTTTCTATTTATGGTGGACCTCTTTATACTTTTGCTGTAGTTCCTTAGCCATGAGTTTTAAAGTATACTGACAATTAAATTTTAAAACATGGATAAATTAATTTAATGTTCTGACAGCCAATGACATTTTAAGCATTTTTACATTTACCCATTGTCTGTTTAATTTGTCTTTTGGTGATAGAATGTCTAGAGTTTTAGTGATATTATTGTTGTGTTGTTTCATTCATTCAAATATTTTGATACTTTGAGTTTAGATACTTGTTGGTTTAAAGCAAAACATTTTTGGAAATTACAATCATAAGATTTGCCCCATTTTTTTACTTATTTGCTTTGGGTCATTATAATAAATTATTATTATTTTTGTGTGTGTGTGTATGGAAGGGGTAATTTCAGATGAAGTTGATATCACATGTACATATAATGGAATGATAGTGTTCATTTATGTGGAACTCTCAATCCTGAGAAATGCTAGGCTTTTAATTTTAGGGTTGTATAGGCAGATTGTAGAAGCACATTTAAGGCAATATGGCTATTGAGAACATGGTGGGGGAAGTGATGGCCCAGGAGGATGAAGGAGACCATTGACTGTCCTGAATATATACAGGAGGGCCCTACTTAGTGTTAGACGTGTTACCTGATTACTAAGGAGAAGATACAGTTATACAGTTTTGGTAAACATTCCAGTCTTATCCTGCATGTGCTTCCAAATAGATTTGATATGTAAAGAGCTATTTACCCAAAGATTTTAAAAAGCTGCTTAAATATAAAAACAAGAGCTCTATGATACTCCTTAGGATTCCATATATTTAATATGTGCATCTGGTGATAATCACTTTTGTCGCAAACAGAGGACAAGGGAAGAAATTTTACTTCATAAATTCAGCCTTAGTTCACCAATGGTTGAATTGTGGCATCATGAAAATGAGCATTATATAGATAATTATTTTCCATGCAAAACTTTCTCTGATCAAGAACATAATTTAAGTGTCTATGAAATTTTTAAAACTCCTGGTCTTGCAGTAGTTAACATGTCAGTGACTCCACTAGAGGTGGGTGTAGCTGTCTGTGCTGTAGAGCGCACTGTCTCAGAAACACTGTGAAGCAGGTCTACTCCATCGTCCAGGTTCACTATGAGTTGGAATCAACTCAGTGGCCAGGGTTTTTGTTATCATTGTTTGCTTACTTTTAATCTGCAAAACTCATAGAAGTTTGTCTAACCACTGAACTAGGAATTCCGGAAATAGCTTTAGTTCTATATTATATCATTTAGTATATTACGTAGTAGAAATTCATTGTATTTTCTACATCAAAATGGAGTAAACTCAAGGTATTCTGCCTTACTAGGTTTCTATGTGATTGAAAGAGATGGATAATGTATGTATTTCTTTAAAAGCATAATATGCTTATAACGCATTAAAACATATTAATTCTACAGTCCTCAAAGCAGGTCTTCAACTGCATTTTCTCAAAAAGTTAATATCTTGCATTTACTTTAAGGCAAAAACAATGAAATAAAAGGTAGAATAATAAGTTAGATATGAAAGCATATAATTAAACTAATTAAATACTAAGAATATACTTTTAAGGAGCATATGAAAATGGAGTATAACATGTAATTTTTGGAAAGTTGAAGTTTTTAAAGACTTTACTAAACAGGTGACTAGCATGAACAACATTGTATAAAATACTACAACAGAGTTGCTGTAGATTGGCCTTCACCTCATGGCAATCCCACGTACACATAGAACGATCCTCCATGGGGTTTTGAGTGAAAGGTCGCAGGAGGAGATGACCACACCTTTCATCCGAAGCACATTTGCGTAAACGCGGATCTCCAAATTCGGTTATGTAGTAACTAAACACCTTGACAGTTTGCCCCGCCCCAAAGAAACACCAATAAGAGCATTCAGTACTATCAAATTCAGCTTTACTCACGGCGGCACGTTAGGATCCAATAGAACTTCTTAGGGTTTCCAAGACTGTAAATTGCACAATCACGTCTTTTGTATCCTCTAAGGAGCTCTGGTAGCAGAGTGATTTATGTGTGCTACTGCTGGGTCTGCAGTTCAAACCTGCCAGCTCCTCCTTGAGAGAAAGATGAGGCTTCCTGCTCCTGTAAGGATGTGCACTCTCAGAAACCCACAGAGGGAGTGAATTTATCCTCTAGGGTCACCGTGAGTAGGAAGCAGCTAGATGGCAGTGAGTTTGGTTTTGGTTGAATTAAATAAATAGATATGCTGAATTCATTCTATTAAATACAATACAGGTACATAAAGAGATAATTGAATGCAGTGCAACTTGAAAACTCTACATTATAGATCTTTACCATAGATCACAAGTACAATTTTATGTCAAATTAAATTCTAACTCCTAAGCATTAAGAGGGAGCCCTGATGGTATAGTGGTTACATTTGGGGCTGCTAATGGCAAGGTTAGGCTGGGGGGGGGGGGGGAGCAGGACTTTCTACTTCTGTAAAAAGTTACAGAGTGGGATACCCCAGAGACATTTCACCTGTCCTATAGGGTCGCTATGAGTAGGCAGTGAAGAACATTGAAAAGTTGGTAATTTATAGTTAGCACTTTTTGATGAAAAAAATATATATTTTAAAATAGATTGCTGAGTACATAACAATCTCTTCTTCTTCTTATACACATTTTTGCTCGCTTAGAGTCTCTATACCAGTATGTTTTGATATACAACATTTATGAAGGACTTTATTTTCCCTCTACTACTAAAAGTGGTAATATATGTATCAAAAGTGTATATGGTATGCTTTACGTAACATACGAGATAATGTTATAACTTACATAGCATCATAACATAATGAATATGATATAATTTGTTTACTGTATATTCCATTCATTCTTCAATGATGTTCTGTAGGAAGAAGGACTTCTATGTCATACACACTCTGAAAAGTGAATTTCATGTAGAAATACTTGAAAGCAGTTTCCAGTGTTGTCCTATAGTTTGTTTGTTTTTTTTTGTTTTTTGAGGACTGTTTTGATTGTTACTTTTGTTCTAAAGGCAAATAAAAAAATATCTTGGGAATTTTATTTTTGTTCTAAAATATGCAACCAATGAAAATAATGAATGAGGTCCTAACTTGATGTCAGACCTGGTAACTCATCACAGCCCTCATAATTGTCAGTTGGTGTAGCATGGGATTGTTGAAGAAAAGCACACACTGCATATGAGTTAAAGATGTTTTTCTTATCCACTATAATTGCCATTTACAAAATAGCAAATGTTTGTTAATTAGCAGAAGCTAAACTAATTCCTTCAAAGACTAAACATGAATTAAATACCAATATAAATCCTACCAGCTTAATCCTTTAATAAGCGAATAAAAATCAGCATAGTCCATGTTCTGAAATAGGCTTATATCTCCATCTACTCCTGGGAATTTTCTACTTATGTTTCTAAATTTTCAACATGTAGCACTTAATTATTATTTGGTATCTAAGCTTTCTAGTAGGCCTTGGTAAGCCAAGCATAGAGAGAAATATTTAAAAAACACAAATAATACACAAGGGCGGACCCAGCAGGTATGTAAATCATTCAAAATAGTCTACTAAAAGAGAAAGCAGTAATGTGTTCGGAGTATAGGAAGGCAGACAATGCGGCTTACACCTCTTCTTAGGAAATCTGAAGAATAATTCCCCAAAGAAATTAGATTTGAGCTATAGTTGAGTTTGCCTTATGGAGAAGAAGACGAGATGGTGTATTGGGATAAAAGGCATCAAGGTATACAGATTAGGAAGAGAATGCGATTTAGGGGGCAGGTAGCAATTAGGGATAAGCACTGGACTGCTAACACGAGGTCAGCAGTTCAAGTCTTACTAGCTGCTCCATGAGAGAAAGTGAAGGGCTCTCAGCCTCAGAAACTCTCTTTAGAGTCATTATAAGCCAGAATCTACTCTATAGCAATGGAGGTTGGTTTCTGCATTGGTTTTATACAGTAACGTCTGTGTGAGGTGCGGTTCGGGTGACTCCAACCATATGTACAACATAGCAGAACACAGCCTGGTCCTGTGCCACCCACACCATTGTTCAAGTTGAACCCAGTATTGAAGCCACGCATGCCTGAAGGTGGAGTGGGTTATGTGCTGAGCTACAGGCCACGAAGTTTGCAGTTGGAAACCACCAGTAACTCCACAGGAGAAGCACGAGGCTTTCTGCTCTTGGAAAGGTTGCGTCTTGTAAACCCAATACCCCTTGGGGTTGCTAGGAGTCAGAGTGGACTCCAAAGCAGTGAGTTTGGTGTGCTTTGTTTCGTTGCAGCTCCTGTGTGAGTCACTGAGGGTCTTCCTCTTTAGGGCTGACTCTCTACGTCAATCAAGAAGTCCTTTTCCCAGGATGGATTTTTTGTGATAGCACGTCCAAAGTATGTGAACCTGTTCAAACTTGCCAGCAACACTGTGGGAGAAAGAGGAGTCTAACAGTTCCTATAAAGATTTATAGTCTCAGAAACACCAAACTGTATATAGGTCCTATCTAATCTCCTTTACATAGGACCAATACAAGTCAGCAATCAACTCAGTGGAATGTTTTGGGTTTATTTTA